ACTGGGGTACGCGAGAGGGGCTCCGGGACAACTTGAAGCGAGTCCCGATGGTGATGCGGGACGGCTTTTCGTGCGACCTACGATGAGCATGTCATCTTGCGTATCCTCTCCAGATTGTGCCTAGCTGTTGTGTTCGGGAGTTTGATCGCCATCTGCGCTGGCTGTCCGTCATCTTCCCGGAAAGAGGAGTGTGCATCTGGCGTTCGCCATGGGTTTTGTGACAATGACCTGCAACATAGTACAGAAAGACTGTAAATGTATTGATCATGTGAATTACCAGCGACACAAGGTGGCTGGACGGAGCTGTCCAAGGAGCGTCTCTTTGCGCCACTTCGTCGATTGTCTGACCTTCTCAGTCGCGAGACTGGGGCGTGCGACAGGCGGGCTCACCCAGGCTGCGCTTGTGCAAACCCTGAGTTGGGTGCGCGATTTCTACTTGACGAAGAAATCCCATCCCAACCTCTTCCACGTCTGGCATGTGGTTCCTTCCAGCCATCGTTTGTGCCTCCCTCGCCTGGCCTCCACACGTGAAAGCCGCGCGAGGGACAAACCAAACGCTTAGCGACAAGACGAGCAAGGTTGCCCTGTAGGCGAGCCATGGGTTCAGGTCAGCAAGCCCTACCTGATTGGGGTTAGGTCCGAACTGACCGGGCGGAGAACACAAAGTCATCATCAATTCGGCTTGAGCGACAGGGGAGGAGGTTCTGTTTTCCCATCACACTCGGCACAACCGACAAGGGGGAGGGTGTTGTGTTAGAAAGGCTGGGAGAGTAGCGGTGTGAAATGCGCTAGACTGAATTAGTGACGAGTTTTCACCAGCCTCATGCTGAGCAGCTCAACCCCCTGGGTTGATGGCCCTCAAGAGTCAAGCGGTACTGTACCCGGATCACAGTGAGAGACACGCTGCTATCTTGTCGCCTCAATTGCGCAGGCCGGTTTGGAGATAGTCTTGTGCATATATGCGTGTCAAGCTATCAGAGACAATGTGACGTTTTCGCCTGCGGCAGAATCTCGTTAAGCCGGCGTGTCTTTTGACCCAACAGCCGCCTGGGTGGGTGTAGGGGGGTCAGTCAGAGGCGTATGCCACCCGTAAGACAAGGCAGACGACAAAATCCGGGGTTGTATAATGTCGATGTTGGATTGATGGGGCACATGCTGTGGGCGCACCCTACATGCGTTATGCGAATTCTACCGAAGATGAACCCCAAGTCAGAGGACAGAGGGCCACAAGTGTGCATTCCATCCGCATGGAATGGCAAGCGAATTTCTTCAGACGGCTGCTCCCGAGCCGTCGTGCCAACATGAACAATTGACCCTCCCGTGGGGGCCGTCTATTACATTAGTACCTAGATGTTGAGAGCAGCTCAACACACTAGAGCTGGGTCTGTAGGTGGACGTCAGTGATGGCGATGAGACGGGGACACGGTGGATGAGGAGGTAGCTTGGCCATGTTTCCGTCCATTTCCGCCGACCGCCTCATCGCACGCGATTCATATGCTGGGCTAGTTCCGAATGTGTTGAGCCTTCCATCAGTCGAACCACGAGCCAATTATTACGTTCGGATAAAGTGCGGTCAACACTGGAGTGTCTGATTCAACAGCCAGCCAGTCTAATGATGCCAGCTCGTCAGAGAGTCGGTCTGTCGGCCCACACAACGAGCATTTTTCCCGCCTTGGAGGGACGGAAAGGCGAGACCAAGCCAGACCAGACCAAACCAAACCAGACAGCCCAGGCAAGACAAGACACCACCAGGCCACCCACCGTGTGGGTGGTTGACAGATGTGTGGGTGTGCGCTGTGGATGTCAATGGTGTGGCCGTTCGAAACGTGGATAGCTGTGATTCGCTTGGCTGTGCCTCTGGCCCAATCTCACCCGTCTGGCCAAGGTCGGCGAGGACGTGTTGTTGATAAGCCAGCGAAATGGACAAGTCCACGACAGCGACCCAAAATGCG